CCTTTTTTAAAAAGGTGAACAGCAGTCTTGAGGAGGCAGGAGAAAAAATCAACAAATTTTAGATGAGACTATTGAAGTTCCCGATTCTAAAAAGGAGAAAAAGAATGAAAATGAGCAGCCTGAGGGACCTGCTGGAATCATCAAACATACACATTATGGATGTCCCAGAAGGAGAAAGAGAGAAAGCAGAAAAATTATTTTAAGAAATATGGCTAAAAACTTCCCAAATCTTGGGAAATACATTAATATATATGTCAAAGAAGCTCAATGAATTTCAAGTAGGATAAATTCAAAGTTCTACACCAAGGCATATTATTGTCAAATTGTTGAAACCCAAAGACAAAGAAAGAATTTTTAAAGCAGTAAGAGAGAAGTAACTGATCATATACAAGGAAGCCTTAATAAAATGAACAGCTTATTGCTCCTCAGAAACTATTCAGGCCTAAAGGCACTGGGATGATATATCTAAAATTCTGAAAGAAAAAAAGTCGACCAAGAATTCTACATCTGGCATGATTTTCCTTTATGGATAAAAGAGAAATGAAGACATTTCTAGGTAAAAGCTAAAGGTATTTATTACCTACCTGACCTAGAAGAAAAGCTAAAAGGAGATCCTTGGGCTGAAATGAAAGGAAACTAGAGAGTAACTTGAAGCCATAAGAAAAAATAAACTGGAAAACATAGCTACACAGGTAAACACAAAAGCGAGTAATATTAGTTATTGTAAAGATATAGTAGGTTACTTCTCTTGTTCCTATCTGGCCTAATAGGGAAACGCATAAAACATAATTGGAAATCTATGTTCATGGGCCTACAATACATAAAGATGTAATCTGTGACAATAACAATATAAAGGGGAAGGGATGGAGCTGTACAGGATCAGAGTTTTTGCATAATATTGAAACTAAGTTTGTATTATTCAAACTAGGTTATAAATTTAATATCTTACACTAAGGTAACAACTAAGAAGAAAAAATATGCAAAAAATGAAAAAAGAGGATCAAAATGGGACACTACCAATAAAGGCAATAATGGAGGAACTGAAGAAAAAAAGAGCTGTAAAGAAAAAAAATACCCAGATCTTTATAGGGAGAGAGAGAGAGAGAGAGAGAGAGAGAGAGAGAGAGGAAAACATGGAGTAAACCCAGAGAAGGCCATGTAAAGGAGGCAGAGAGAAGAGCTATGATGCCACGAACCAAGGAATGCTAAGGCTTGCCAGTAACCACAAAGAGAATGAAGGAAGAGTCATCTCTAGAGCCTTTAAAGGGGGAATGGTTCTGCTGACATCCTGATTTTGGACTTGAAGTCTCCAAAACTAAAGAGAAATCAGGAAAAAAATTCCATTCACAATTGCATCAAAAAGAATAAAATACCTAGGAAGAAACCTAACCAAGGAAGTGAAGGACCTATACCCTGAAAACTATGGGACACTCTTAAAAGAATTTAAAAAGGACACTAATAAATGGAAATTCATCCCATGCTCTTGGATAGGAAGAATTAATACTGTCAAAATGGCCATCCTGCCTACAGCAATCTACAGATTCAGTGCAATCCCTATCAAAATACATAATTTTTCAATGAACTAGAGCAAATAGTTCTAAAATTCATATGGAACCATGAAAGACCTCAAATAGCCAAAGCAATCCTGAGAAGGAAGAATAAAGTAGGGGGGATTAGGCTCCCCAACTTAAGCTCTACTACAAAGCTGCAGTAATCAAGACAATTTGGTACTGGCACAGGAATAGACCCATAGACCAATGGAACAGACTAGAGAACCCAGATATAAATGCAAGCATATATGGTCAATTAATATACAATAAAGGAGCCATGGATATACAGTGGGGAAATGACAGCCTCTTCAACAACTGGTGTTGGCAAAACTGGACAGCTACATGCAAGAGAATGAAACTGGATTATTGTCTAACCCCATACAAAAGTAGACTCAAAATGGATCAAAGACCTGAATTTAAGTCATGAAACCATAAAACTCTTAGAAGAAAACATAGGCAAAAATCTATTGAATATAACATGAGCAACTTTTTGTGGAATGCATCTCCTCAGGCAAGGGAAACAAAATAAAAAATGAACAAATGGGACTACATCATGCTAAAAAGCTTCTGCACAGCAAAGGACACCATCATCAGAACAAAAAGGCATCGTACAGTATGGGAGAATATATTTGTAAATGACATATCCAACAAGGTGTTAACATCCAAAATATGTAAAGAACTTACATGCCTCACACCCAAAAAGCAAATAACCCGATTAAAAAATGGGCAGAGGATATGAACAGACAATTCTCCAAAGAAGAAATTCAGATGGCCAACAGGCACATGAAAAGATGTTTCACATCACTAATTTATCAGGGAAATGCAAATTAAAACCACAATGAGGTATCACCTCACACCAGTTAGGATGGCCAACACAGAAAAGACTAGGAACAACAAATGCTGGCTAGGATGTGGAGAAAGGGAACCCTCCTACACTGCTGGTGGGAATGTAAACTAGTTCAACCATTGTGGAAAGCAGTATGGAGTTTCCTCAAAAAACTAAAAATAGAAGTACCATTTGTCCCAGGAATTCCACTCCTAGGAATTTACCCAAAGAATGCAGGATCCTAGTTTCAAAAAGACATATGCACCCTATGTTTATCACAGCACTATTTACAATAGCCAATAAATGGAAGCAACCTAAGTGTCCATCAGTAGATGAATGGATAAAGAAGATGTGGTACGTATACAGAATGGAATACTATTCAACCATAAGAAGAAAACAAATCCTACCATTTCCAACAACATGGATGGAGCTAGAGGGTATTACGCTCAGTGAAATAAGCCAGGTGGAGAAAGACAAGTACCAAATGATTTCACTCATCTGTGGAGTATAAGAACAAAGCAAAAACTGAAGGAACCAAACAGCAGCAGACTCACAGAACCCAAGAATGTACTAACAGTTACCAAATGGAAAGGGACTGGGGAGGATGGGTGGGAAGGGAGGGTTAAGGGGGAAAATGGGGCATTACGATTAGCACACATAATGTAGGGGGTTGGGGGACATTGGGAAGGCAGTATATAAAGAGAAGACAAGTAATGATTCTATAGCATCTTACTACACTGATGTACAGTGACTGTAATGGCGTATGTGGTGGGGACCTGATAATGGGGGGAATCTAGTAACGACAATGTTGCTCATGTGATTTTATATTAATGATAACAAAAAAAAGAACAAAGAAAATAAGTACGTATATACATGAGCCCATACTGATACAAATAAATGATTGAATAAATAAGAAAGAAAACAAATAGCTAAATGACAGAAGCAAATCCCTCTTTATCAGTGCTCACATTAAATGAAAATGGTTTAAATTCTCCTAGTAAGAGGCAGAGCTTGGCAGATTGGATTTAAAAAACAGGATCAGGATCTGTCTATATGCTGTCTATAAGAAACTCACTTTAAATATAAGGAAACAAAGTTGAAAGTAAAAGGACTGAAAAAGATATTTCAATCAAATAGTAACCAAAAACAGAGCTGGGGTGACTATGTTATTGTCAGATAAAATAGGCTTTTAAGTCAAAAAAGGTTACACAAAACATAGAAGGACATTACATATTGGTAAAAGTTTTGACCCAACAAGAACATATAATAATTGTAAATATATATTCACCTAACAACAGAGCCCTAAAATATATGAAGCAAAAGTTGGCAGAATTGAAGGGAGAAATAGACAGCTCTACAATAAATTGGGGAGTTCAATACTCCACTTCTTTTTGTCAAATGTACATCACAGTGGTCCAACAGTCCCCCTTCCCCTTCCCCCACTTCCACCCACTCCCCACCCCCTAGGTAAACACTAGTCACTTCTCTGTCTGTGAGCCTACTGCTGTTTTGTTCCTTCTGTTTTACTTTGTTTTTATATTCTACAAATAAGTGAAATCATATGGTATGTGTCTTTCTCCACCTGGCTTATTTCACTGAGCATAATACTAGATCCATCCATGTTGCTGCAAATGGGAGGATTTCTTTTTTTTTATGGATGAATAATCCATTGTGTATATGTACCACCTCTTCTTTATCCATTCATCTATTGATGGACACTTAGGTTGCTTCCATATCTTGGCTATTGCAAACAGTGAGGCAATAAACATAGGGATGCATATATATTTTGAATCAGGGATTTTTTTTTTCTTTGGGCAAATTCCTAGGAGTGGAATTCCTGTGTCAAATGGTATTTCTATTTTTAGCTTTTTGAGGAAACCCCATACATAATGATTTCTTACACAGGAAAGGACCAAAAAATGCACTCAGCATGAAATAAGTTTGATTGGACATCATAAAGATTAAATGTTCATTTAAGAAAATGAAAGGCAAGCCCTAGAGTGTGGAGAAAACATTGGCAATACATATATCTGACAAAGGATTTGTATCCAGAATATATAAACAACATTTACAACTCAAAATAAGAAAACAACCTAACAACAAAATGGTGAAAAGATTTGAACAGACACTTCAGAAAGATAGATATATGAACAGCCATTAACTAAAAGCTGCCCAAATCATTAGGCATCAGGGAAATGCAAATAAAAACCAGAGACATACCACTATACCCACTAGAATTGCTTAAATTAAACAGACAATACTAAGTGATGGTGAAGAGGTAGAGCTACCAAGACTCTCATATATTAGAGTATAAAAGGCACAACCACTTTGGTATACTATTTGGTAGTTTATTTATGTATTTATGTATTTATTTAGTTTTTTATTTAAGGTATGATTGATAGACACTCTTATGAAGGTTTCACATGAAAAAACAATGTGGTTACTGCTTTTACCCATATTTTCAAGTCCCCACCCATACCCAAATGCAGTCACTGTCCATCAGTGCAGCAAGATGGCACGGATCCACTATGGCACAGATCCACTATGTGCCTTCTCTGTGCTACACTGTTCTCCCCATGATTATTTGGTAGTTTCTAACAATGTTAAATATACAAAGTTAAACATACACCTACCCAATGTCCCAACAATTCCACTCCTACATATTCCTCAAGAGAAATGAAAATATATGTCCACAAAGAGACTTATACAGAACTATTCAGAGCAGCTTTATCCACAATGGCCCCAAACCAGAAACAAATTGCTATATATCCTTGCCCTTGAATACTATTGAGCAATAAAAAGGAATGAACTACTGTTATACCCAACAACATCAATAAATCTCAGAAACATTATGCTGAGCAAAAGAAGTGGATACAAGAACGTACATGCTGTATGATTCCATTTGTATGAAATGCTAGAAAGTTATACTTAATCTTTAGTGACAGAGTGCAGAACAGTGTCCCTCTGGGGTGAGGGATGGTAGGGATTGACTGCCAAACAAGGGAACTGTTTGGGTGATGGGAACATATGTCTTCATTGGGGTAGTAATTCCATGGTGCAAACATTTGTCAAAAGTCATCAAACTATAAACTGAAAATGAGCTTATTTAGTGGCATATAAATTATACCTCTATAAATTTAACAAAAAAAATACAATTCAGCAATACAAAGGGATGAAGTACTGATACATGTTACATGTATGAAACTGAAAAACTTTATGCTTAAAAGAAAGCCAGATACAAAATTATGATATATGTGCTGTGTGATCCCATTTATGATAAATGGTCAGGAAAGATAACTTTATAGAGACATAAGTCTGTGTGGTTGCCTGGGGATTGGGTACAGGGAGTAACTGCAATTGAGCATGGGAGATCTTTTGGAGATAATGGAAATGTTCTGAAATTGGATTGTGATGATAGTAGTGCAACATTATAAATTTACAAAATTACTTTAATTGTATACTTAGAATGAGTGAACTTATGTTAATTATATCTTGATAAAGCTGTTTAAGGAAGATAATTGAGTATGTAAGCCAGCAATCACACTCCTTGATATTTATCCAAATGAGTTTGAAAGTTATATCCACACAAAAACTTGCATTTGGATGTTTACAGTGCTGTATTCATAAATGCCAAATCTTGGAAGCAACCAAGATGTCTTTCAGTAGGTGAATGGATAAATAAATTGTGGTACCTCCAGACAATGGAATATTATTCAGCATTAAAAAGAAATTAGATGAGCCAAGCGCTTGGTTCCCACAGGCTGCAGACCTGGTGACCCTGGGGGAATCTCAGAGTCAAGAAAATCTCTCCAACATCTCTTTCTCAACTGCAGAAGTTGTACACGGTAAACTTTGTATTTCCAAATGGGAACAAGTATGATGGTGACTATACAAGAACATCTGGAATCTTTGAGAGAAATGGAATAGGTATTCATACCACTCCTAATGGGATTATCTACACAGAAAGCTGGAAGATGACAAGATGAATGGTTTTAGAAGACTTGAACATTTTTCAGGGGCAGTGTACGAAGGACACTTTAAGGACAATATGTTTCATGGATTGGGGACATACACCTTCCCAACTGGAGCAAAGTACACTGGAAATTTCAATGAAAATAGGGTGGAAGGCAAAGGGCAATATACAGATATCCAGGGACTAGAATGGTGTGGTAACTTTCATTTCATAGCTGCTCCAGGCCTGAGACTAAAGTTCCATATGTAGCTATTCTAAATTAAAGTTTTAATGTTGTAAGCTTCCATTTGTAAGGAAAACAATTAAATTTGTCATCTCAAGTAACTTCAAACACTACCTCTATTTTATAATTTTGCCAATAAAACCACCACTTACCCTTTTGGGACTTCATTTTCTAATTAGTTTGAAATAAAGTAAGTGACCCATTTGAGTGTTTCTTCATTTTAATACAACAGAACTATCCAAATCTTGGCAAAGTCAATTTCCAATCCTGTGCCTGAGCTTTGTCATCTTTAAAAAGTATATCTATGTGTTAAAGGAAACTATCAAGAAAATGAAAAGATGATCCACAAAATGGGAGAAAATATTTGCAAATCATATTTTTGATAAAGGTTCCCTTTACAGGATATATAGGGAACATATATATAAATTTATATAAATAAAAAGACAACAATTAATGGGCAAAGGATTTGAATAGAAATTTTCAAAGAATATAAATGAATATCTAATAAGTAAATGAAAAGATTCTCAACATCATTACTCTTTAGGTTAAATAGGAATTAAACCCGCATTAAGATACCAATTCACAATCAGTAGGATGGCCATATTAAAAAAGACAGTAAGAAAGGTTGGCAAAAATGTGGAAAAATTGTAAACTTCAAATATTTCTGGTGGGAATGTAAAATGGTACAGCCACTGGGGAAAAGAGTTTCTCAAAAAGTTAAATGTATAGTTACTGTACAACCTAGCAATTCCTAAGTATGTACCAAGGAGAACTCACTTGAACAGGAATGTTCATAGCAGCATTATTCATAACAGCCCACATTGGAAACAATCTAAACAACTGATAAATGGAAAAACAAAATGTGGCATATTCATACAATGGAATATCATTCAGCCATAAAAAGGAATGAAGTACTGATACATGCTACATGAATGAACCTTGGAAACACTGTACTAAGTGAAAGAAGCCAGTCACAAGGAGCAACATATTGTATGACCTTTATATCAAACATTCAAAATAGGCAAATCCATTGAGATAATAAATTAGTGGTTGCCAGGAGAGTGAGAAATTGGGAGGCATGGGGTTTCTTTTTGGAGTAATAGAAATATTCTCGAGTTAGTGGTGATTACATGACCTTGTGAATACTAAAAACCACTGAACTGTTCACATTAAAAGGGCACATTTTATGTATGTTAAGAGAATTGTATCTCAATTTTTGAAAAGTAGATGTGTGTTCTTACATATTCTATGCCTAAAAAGCATCTTTACCTTTTAGATAAAATAATTAAAAAATCACCAGGACAGTACATGACAGTTGCATGTTAAAAATTACAATATAGACCTAAGTATTTTTGCTGAAACTATATTTCCCAAGTTGACAAAAATGGTTTAAGCAATAGAAAACTTCTGTGTCGTATTTCTTCATTCAAAATCTTGTGAAAAACTGTATTTCTTATATAGTCATTGTCAAAAATTATTTTTATTTTTTGTTTACTGATACAAATCTGGATTGAAATGTCTTTTAAAATATTGAAATAAAATGGCATTTTTGTTGGTTTCTCATATAAAAAAAGAAATTAGCTACCAAACCATAAAAAGACATGGATGAAAAAAAAGAAAATAAACACAATTAAAAAAACAAAAGAGAGAAAAAAAGACATGGATGAACCTCAAATGCACACTACTAAATGAAAGAAGCCAATATGAAAAGGCTACATACTGTGATTCCAACTATATGACATTCTGGAAAAGAGAAAACTTTGGAGAGTGGTTGTCAGGGACAGTGGGGAGAGGGGAATGAACAGGCTAGCCATAGAGGATTTTTAGGGCAGTAAACCATTCTGTGCACTATTGTAATAGTGAATACATATCATTGTACATGTGTCAGAACCCAGAATGTACACCAGGAGTGAACTCTAATGTAAACTATGGACTTTGGGTAATAATCATGTGTCAGTGTAGGTTCCTTGATTGTAACAAATGTAACACTCTGGTGTGGCATGTTGATCATCAGGGAGGCTGTGCATGTGTAGGGGCAGGGAGTATACAGGAATTTTCTGTATTTTCAGCTCAATTTTGCTGTGAACCTAATACTGCTCTTAAAAATAAACTATTTTTGAGAAGAAATGAGCTATCAAGCTATGGAAAGACACAGGAGACCTCAAATGCACATAATTAAGTGAAAGAAGCTAGTCTTGAAGGTTCCATATTGCATGAATCCAACTATATGACATTCTGAAAAAGGCAAAACTATGAAGACAATAAAAAGTTCAGTGGCTGTCAGGGGTTGGGGTGGGAGTCGGGGATGAACAGGTGGAAAACAGGATTTTTAGGGCAATGAAACTATTCTGTATGATACAATAATGGTAGATATATTTGTTAAAACCCATAGAATGTACAACACTAAGAGTGAACCCTAATGTGAACTATGGACTTTGCTTGATAATAATGTCAATGTAGGTTCCTTGATTGTAACAAATGTGCAATTCTGGTGGTGTGGGATGTTGTGATAGTGAGGGAGGCTGTGCCTTGTTGGGTATATGGGAACTCTCTGTTCTTGTACTTTTTTTACTCTATTTTGCCTTGAACCTAAAACTGCCCTAAAAAACAATCTATTAAAAATGAACTACTTAAACAAAAATAACAACAATGTATTGTGGGGTAAAATAAAATGTGTAATGGCATTAAGTCCAGGAAGAGGGAAATGGAAGTATATTAACATAGGGTTTTTATACTCTTCGTTAAGTGGCATAATAACACTTGAAGGTACACTCTGTTAAGTTAGGGATGTACATTATAAACCTTTGAGCAACCACCAAAATAAAAAAACAAAGAGGTATAGCTAGTAAGCTAACAAAGGAGATAAGATGGAATAAAAATAATATTAATTCAAAAGACAGAAAAAGAGGGAAAAGATAACAGAGATGGGACAAAGAGAAAACAAATAGCAAGCTGACAGACTCAAATCTAACCATATCAACAATCATGTTAATGTACCACAATGAGATATCACCTTGCACCAGTTAGAATGGCCACTATCCAAAAGACAAGAAATAACAGGTGTGGGAGAGGATGTGGAGAAATGGGAACCTTCCTACACTGTTGGTGGGAATGTACATTGGTGCAGTAGCTTGCCAATGGGTTTCAGCCCGGGCAAGATCGCTATGGATTTAGTGTGACCAAAGAAATTGACTGCAAAACACTCCTTGGGGTGAAAGGGTTTATTACCCGGCTTGTTCTCCGGCAGTAGGTTGAGCACTAGTGTCTCTGCCTCTGCCCAGAGCAATGGGCCGAGCCCTTTATATAGCGCAAAATAGCTCATTGCCTAAAGGTGTGGAAGCGGCAGCCAAGCAACAGGCCAGTTACATCATCAGGTGGTTTAAGTTCAGTGAGGATCCTGGCCATAGGAACCCCAACTTCCCCACACTCCACACCTCCAGATTCTTGCCTTATAATCTACAAGCTTCCAATCTTCCGCAATGGTCCCTGTGCAAGAAAGCTGGAGCACTGTAACCATATTCCACAATAGCAACAGAGGATAACAACAACTTAGAGATAATAAAAATTAAGATACAGCAAGATTTTGATACAAAAATTATAATAATCCTCAAGCCAGAGGAGGTTCCAGTCCACAAAGACTTTAGGGGCAATAAGAAACATGTTTTAATGTCACCAACATAGGTAAATCTTGTCCATCAGGTAGGATGCATGCAAGAGAGTGGTCCTGTAATAGGAATGTAGCAGGAAGGGGGTACCTTCCAGGTCTAGTATACCATACTTTTAGCCTTTTCCCATGGGGGTTACTGAAGGGTCTATATATAGTGCTACTGGAGGTGCATGCACTGGCCATAATGATAAAACAAAACTTCCTGGTAAGATGCTCCTACCTTCTGGCCATTCAGGATATACTACTGTGACCTTTGGCAGCCACTCTGCTGTTATTCCAGGAATACACAGGAGGCCAGCTTTCAGGCCTTGTCCCCAAGGTGCCAGGAGTGCCAGCCATCGTTGGTTCATGTGTCGAAAGGTCCAAGGCCACGTCCACTCAATGGAGTCTCCGGGGTTCAGTGCAGTTGGTGCTGGCAGCAAGATGTTATTCTGGTAGCCAAATATCAGCTTCAATGATTCTTCCTTGGTTTGTACTTGCAGTTGTATGGGGGAGGCAGCCATATGTGTTAACATGTCTATGGGGCTCAGCTCCCTTCCGGGGTCTCTCATTCAAACACCATAGCACGGTTCATAAGCAGACTGACCATCCCCACAGACTATTGGTATCTGACTTTAGTCCGGATTTTAAGAAGCCATTGTGCCTCTCTATCATGCCTGCTGCGGTAGGATTGTATGGCACATGAAACTTCCACTTGATTCCCAGCTGTCGTGCCCATTCTTGCAGTGTATGTCCAGTAAAATGGGTGCCCTGATCACTCTCAATCACCTGTGGTTGGCCATAGGCAGCAAAGTGACGCTCCAGGCCTCTTTTGGTCACCTGCTGGTCTGCACAACAGGTAGGAAAAGCAACCAGAAGTCCAGTAGCTGTGTCCACACAAGTCATCACGTACTGATATCCTTCTGACACAGGGAGAGGCCCAATATAGTCTATCTGCCACCTGACAAAGGGTATAGGTCCCTTAGTTATTGTCCCATATTGCTGTGGAACTTGGTGTAAGTCCCTTTTGGAGCACACGACACACTCCTGCTGGGCTCTACTAACTTCTTTGAAGGTCAAAGGCAAGCCCAACCGACGAGCTACAGCCCACATTGTCTTTTGCCCTGCATGCAACAAACGTTGATGTAGCCATAGGGCTACATCAGAGGCAGGCTTTCCTTCTAACCAATGTATCTGGGCCAATTTATCTGCCTCATCATTTCCTGGGGATGCCAGTGGCAAATGACCTGTCACATGGTATACTGTAATTATTTTAGTCTGACCACAGGCCCATAAGTCTTGCCACAATTCTTGCCCCCAAAGGGTGGCCAACCAGTCAGTTGGCATAGTACCAGGTTGGTAGCCACAGGGTAAGCCCCGATAGACAGCCCAGCTCTCAGTGCAGAGAACTATAGGGGAGGGCTCCTTGCTGATCACAAGCCACACAGCCCACAACTCTACCCATTGGCTGCTCTTCCCCTCATCATTTTCCATCCATATTGTCTCAGTCTTGGGATGGAAAGCTACGGCCCTCCATTTTAGGGCTGCCCACGGCTGGAGCCATCTGTGTACCATGCGTCTTCGAGTATAGGGGCTCTTACCCCCCAGTAGGGACTCTGCTATTAATGGTTCAAAAGCAAGTTCTTCCTGCTTTTCACTAGTATATGTCACCGGCCCCAACAAGCATTGGAGTTCTTCACTCAAAAGGCTACTAGAGAGGGCATTACAGTGCTGTAGGTAAGCACCCCACTTGGCTAGTGTGGGTGTTTGTGCCACACCACTCCTTGGCTTTTGGGTCCA